TTTATTTTATTATGTTTTATTTTTTATTATTTTATTACTTCCCTTCTACGTGACTTTACCGAAAAAAACAAGAAGATGAATCCCTGCAGTCACGAAAGCTTTAAATCGAAATTTAGTGCTGCGTTATTCCACGAAATATTCCGATCATCATATAAACAGGTTACGGACAAAGCAAGGTGAGATAGATGTCACGCAAATACGACCCCGACGCCTGCTGTATATTTGGAGTTTGCATCTTCTCCCCGTGGATTTTTCTCTGGGTCCTGTTTTTTTCCCCTCCGCACTTAGAAACGTGCGCTCAGAGTATTTGGCTGCTATGAATTTGAACGTGATAGACCACTTTGTTGAACTATCATTTGTGGCCAGGTCGCTTCTGAAAAAGAGCTGTACAGCTCAGTGGGCCTCGCCTGGTGAAATGAAAACAGAGTAATTCCCAGAACAGCAGTCCACCACTCTGTCTGAATGTGAAGCGCCAGTTGTTACCATACTTATACATTCCCATCTTCTTGTCAATTCACGCCCGCCAGCGCGGTCAATAAATTATGTTTCCAACTGACGACGGAAGCTTGTGTTGCCTCCGAAACGTCGTGATTTATTTTCATTTTATGATTTTTATTATTTTTATTTTTCACCTACGTGACTTTACCGAAAGAACCAAAAATGTATGGATACTTGCAGTCACGAAAACTTCAAATCTAGAAGAAAAAATCTGGTCAAATAAGAGCCCACAACCGCAACGGAGCGGGGGCAAAGCGGCCGTCCATAAATGACGTCACGCGATTTTGGACGATTTTTTACCCCCCCCCCCCACCTTCGCCACACGGCGTCACAAAGTCAGCCCCCCCCCCCTCAAATATGACGTCACAAAGCTCTGCCCCCCCCCCATTTTTTTTAAAAACATGCTTCAAATCGCTTTAAACTATTGTCATTGTAGTGCGTATTTAATGTGGCGCTGCACTCTGATGTTGTAGGAGAAAACATTTATCAAAAAGTCTATTTAATTAAGTAGAACGTGTTGTCTACATTTATTAAAAGTTGCGCATTTTGATGTGACGTCACATTTCTCAACCCCCCCCCCTCCCCTCGTCACACATCGTCACAAATGTCGGACCCCCTCCCCCCCCCTAGGTGCGTGACGTCATTTATGGACGGCCCCCAAGGCATTCATTCAAGCAGTGGATGTTTCAGACGAGCTGCACACGTCACGTGGAGCGCCAACAGAGGTCACCAACGTCCCATTCGACGCGGCGCCATCGCGCGCGTCAACCGCGGAGCGTGGCCACGTGGTGCGTCCCAATGCGCAGGCCACGTGGTGCGTCCCAATGCGCAGGCCACGTGGTGCGTCCCAATGCGCAGGCCACGTGGTGCGTCCCAATGCGCAGGCCACGTGGTGCGTCCCAATGCGCAGGCCACGTGGTGCGTCCCAATGCGCAGGCCACGTGGTGCGTCCCAATGCGCAGGCCACGTGGTGCGTTCGAACGCGAAACCTGGCCACGTGACTCGCCCTTTGGGGGCCGTCCATGAATGACGTCACGCACCTGGGGGGGGGGTCAGACATTTGTGACGATGTGTGACGAGGGGAGAGGGGGTTTGAGAATGTGACGTCACATCAAAATGCGCAACTTTAAATAAATATAGACAACACGTTCTGCTTAATTAAATATACTTTTTAATAAATGTTTTCTCCTACAACATCAGAGTGCAGCGGCACATTAAATACGCACTACGATGACTATTTAAAGCGATTTGAAGCATGTTTTATTTTCAAAATGGAAATATGGTTTGGGGGGGGGGGGGGGCAGAGCTTTGTGACGTCATATTTGAGGGGGGGGGGGGTCTGACATTTTGTGACGCCGTGTGACGAAGGGGGGGCGGTAAAAAATCGTCCAAAATCGCGTGACGTCATTTATGGACGGCCTCTTGGCTCTGACTGGCAGTGCCGTGCAGGAAGCCCGTGTCCACATCCAACGGAGATCACGTGACGTGAGGGTTCTTCATTTGTAGCGAGGGTTGTAAGTTGACGCCGAGGAGGGGGCAGGAGGCGCCTCGGCCCCCCATGTGGAGTGACGTCACCCGATAATAATTATTATGAATGGTGGGGGGGTGGGTGTCCATTTGGAGGGCGTAACCTGCTCATGATTAAATCTTGACTTAAAGCTTTCGTGACTGCAGCGATTCATACTCTTTGGTTCTTACGGTAAAGTCACGTTCATGATTAATGAGGGCGGTTGTTAGATGTGGAGTCATGTCAATGAGGGGGGAGGGTGCTCCATGTGGAGTGACGTCACCTGCTGATGATTATTAATGAGGGGGGGGGTCCATGTGGAGGCCGTAACCTGTTCATGATTATTAATGAGGGGGGCTGGTCGACGTGGTGTGACGTCACGAGCGTTGCACACAGACATTTTTGGCTCATTATAGTAGCAAATAATGGGGGGGGGGTGGGGTGTCCATTTGTAGGACGTCACCTGCTCATGATTATTGATGAGGGGGGGCTGTTCGATGTTGAGTGACGTCACGCGCTCATGAATATTAATGAGGGGGGGCTGGTCGATGTGGAGTGACGTCACGAGCGTTAAGGACATCCCTGGGTGATTATCGTAGGCACACCACTCGGTGCGTTTCAGTTAATGCCGACCAATTCCTGGGATGTTCACACCGGGACACGGAGAGCGTTCAGCCCCTCCCACTTCCAACAGCCTCATCCACTCAGCATCTAACCCCGCCCACCCGGCCGCTAGCCCCCACCCACTCGGCCGCTAGCCCCCGCCCACTCGGCCGCTAGCCCCCACCCACTCGGCCGCTAGCCCCCACCCACTCGGCAGCTAGCCCCCACCCACTCGGCCGCTAGCCCCCACCCACTCGGTCGCTAGCCCCCACCCACTCGGTCGCTAGCCCCGCCCACTTGGTCGCTAGCCCCCACCCACTCGGCCGCTAGCCCCGCCCACTCGGTCGCTAGCCCCCACCCACTCGGTCGCTAGCCCCCACCCACTCGGCCGCTAGCCCCGCCCACTCGGTCGCTAGCCCCCACCCACTCGGCCGCTAGCCCCGCCCACTCGGTCGCTAGCCCCCACCCACTCGGCCGCTAGCCCCCACCCACTCGGCCGCTAGCCCCGCCCACTCGACCGCTAGTCCCCACCCACTCGGCCGCTAGCCCCCACCCACTCGGCCGCTAGCCCCACCCACTCGGTCGCTAGCCCCCACCCACTCGGCCGCTAACCCCACCCACTCGGCCGCTAGCCCCCACCCACTCGGCCGCTAGCCCCCACCCACTCGGCCGCTAGCCCCCACCCACTCGGCCGCTAGCCCCCGCCCACTCGGCCGCTAGCCCCGCCCACTCGGCCGCTAACCCCGCCCACTCGGCCGCTAGCCCCGCCCACTCGGCCGCTAGCCCCGCCCACTCGGCCGCTAGCCCCGCCCACTCGGTCGCTAGCCCCGCCCACTCGGCCGCTAGCCCCGCCCACTCGGCCGCTAGCCCCGCCCACTCGGCCGCTAGCCCCCACCCACTCGGTCGCTAGCCCCGCCAACTCGGCCGCTAGCCCCCGCCCACTCGGCCGCTAGCCCCGCCCACTCGGCCGCTAGCCCCGCCCACTCGACCGCTAGCCCCGCCCACTCGGCCGCTAACCCCCCCACTCGGCCGCTAGCCCCCACCCACTCGGTCGCTAGCCCCGCCCACTCGGCCGCTAGCCCCGCCAACTCGGCCGCTAGCCCCGCCCACTCGGCCGCTACCCCCCCCACTCGGCCGCTAGCCCCGCCCACTCGGCCGCTAGCCCCGCCCACTCGGCCGCTAGCCCCGCCCACTCGGCCGCTAGCCCCCACCCACTCGGTCGCTAGCCCCGCCCACTCGGCCGCTAGCCCCCGCCCACTCGGCCGCTAGCCCCGCCCACTCGGCCGCTAGCCCCCACCCACTCGGCCGCTAGCCCCACCAACTGCCCAGAGACCACGACTTGGTTAACTTTTTCCATGCATAGCGTCCTGAGAACGATTGTTTAAAGGGCCCTTCATGAATTTAAATTATTATAAAATTTAGACTTCAAACGTTCGTGACTGCAGGAATTCATATTCTTAGTTATTTCGGTAAAGTCACGTAAATAGAAAATAAAAGCAAAAAACCCACGACGCTTTGATCGCAACACAAGCGGTCTTCAGGCGAAATGTCGTGGGGTGTTTGCTTTTATTTTAGATTTTTAGTTGTCCATTTACATGACTTTACCGAAAGAACCAAGAATTTAAATTAGTATTTCCCGCGAGTCGAACGCAGAGTTCGGACAATTCAAAGCGAGCGACACATTCCTGATTTTCACAAATGCTTTGGAGAGGCTGGGGATAAGTCGTTCCGAAATCACCAGGGACTGTCCCGGCCATAACAAAAAAAATCAGGATGTGTTTGGTTAGCTTCGGTTGACGTGAGATTGTGCGTGGAACATCTGTCCAACGGAAGAGGATATTGAGGACTTATGATATTACGGAAATGGACACAAAAGTAATCAAGAGAAAAAAACATTGTGCAATACACACACACACACGTGCCAAATCTACACCGGTAACTGCAATCCCTTTATACAAAGAAATTTATTATTCACATGATATACAGTTATGTACATGACACATACCTTGTCACCAAAAAAAAAACAATTTCAAAACGTGATCAGGTTGTTTTTCTTCTTCCAAACCCTCATACACATCACATATCACGGACGTAGTATGGCGAATGACTCAAGCAGAACGCACGGCAATTAAAATTAATGACAAAGACAAGCGAAACATCTCCCCACCATTCGCTCCACGGAATTTAGTGCAAGCCCAATAATACGTCGAGGCGGGCGGGCGATCGGAATTTTGTCTGCGTTTCGAAACGAACACGTGGCTAAAATAAAATGAGGCCGCTTCTATTGCTGCCATATATATTATTTATACTTAATCTCATAGCGGGGGGTTTTCCACCGGGCTGGACGCAATAGCGTGACATTTCGTTAAAGATTTTTCCTCTTTTTCTTCAGCTTCTTTCTCAACTTCTCCTAAGACGTGCTCCTTAACGGCACGAACAACACAGAAAGTGCACCGTGGCAAAATGGACTCTGTGATAGCGCTAACATAGGGTTGGGTTGGTGGTAGTTGCGGTGTTGAGAGACAACAAAGACAAAGATCCCCCGTATAGCCTTAACATACTGTTGGGGCAAGTGCTGTTAGCGAGCACCTATGAAGGCCGGAACGGCACACGAAGGGGGTAGGTGGCACAGCACCACGCCCGGTCGCCTTTTGTCCCCCCTCACCCCCCCAAGTGGCGATGTTTACACACTAGGTACTAATTTGAGGCTGAGTCGACGTAGGGGAGGCCCATGACCGGTTCCGATAATCGTCACTGATCTTGGCGTGAGCGGGATGCGAACTCGGGTCGCCGGGTTCGTAGCGCAGCGCGCTACACCGCGCAAACCGCTCCGCACAGACACACACACAAGCGCATCCCAGGAGAGAGATAATGTCCACACACACAGATATGAGACACAGACCAGAAGATAGACATTTCAACACACACACGCGCACACATAAGGAGATACACACACCAGGAGAGAGAGAGGAACATACCCACACACAGATATATGAGACCCAAACACAACTTGGATAGAGACATAGAACCACACATACAAGAACACACACACACACCAGGAGATATAGAGACACGCACAGCCACTCGTGTCCCATGTTTCCATTCGTCTTGCGTGTCGCTCCGTTAGGCAAAATTCACAGCTACAGAGAGCGGAGCGACACGCGTGACCGAGCGGAAAAGGTCACGCAGAGCTCGATGGCCCACGGGACCCCTAGGGACAACCCGGCACCACTGCCACTATCACAACTACCACAACCACCACAACCGCCGCCAACCCCCCCAGGGGACGAGCACGTGGCCGCCACGTGGACCCACGTGCACTCCCCGTCCGCGCGGTCCCCAATGCGCATTCAAAGAAGGGCTTTCAACGGGAATGCTGCATGCACGCCGCCGTGACGTTGAAGGGGGGGGCTCGAACGCGAACGGTTCTTGTCAAGCAGTCCTGCCCGAGCGAGCCTTTTTTCACTTGCACAACCCCTGGAGATTACCTCGGCGAGCTCCCCTGCCTCGCACAGCCGTCCGAAACGCATTTATACCCCCCCCCCCTCCGCCGTCTCGAATGCAAATGTTGCAGCATTACGCATGGACGGGCCTGCGGTGGTAAACCAACTCCCCCCCCCCCCCCCTCCTCCGCCACAATAATGCCGAGCGGGGCAAGGCGCCCTCGGTCATCTTCCGCGCGATAGTGGAGGAGGTGGGAGGAGAGGAGGTTGGGGGGGGGGGGCAGAAATACATTGTTCATCAAACATGATCAAACACGTGCGCGCAGGGAATTCGGTCTGCGTGGCCAACCAATTATTCCCACCGAAGACTCGCCGCGGCTTTCGCGTCCACACGGCGGCGGCCGTCAAATCGCGCGTTCGCAACCACGGCCGGGCCGGGCCCCTCTTTGAAGTGAGATGTGTCCCGATAGGGCACCTCATTTACTTCCAAGTTTAGACCACCGATGGCGTGTCCGGGATGCCGAGTGTGCCGGGAGCCGGTGACACGTTGTGGACACGATGGCTGAAGTAGCACTGGGTAGGGCGTAGGGCAGGGGTCGGCAACCAAAATAACAAGAAGAGCCATTTCTTTCCAATTCGGTACAAAATTCAGTATTTCAAGAGCCGCAATGCATCTGAGTACATACTGTACATATCGTCAAGAAGCAGCCTGTAAAGAGCCGCATGCGGCTCCGGAGCCGTAGGTTGCCGACCCCTGGCGTAGGGTTTTCGCGGTTGTGCCTGTAACCAGCTGTCCCGATGTGTTTTCGGGTCCGTACCGCGCGCTACTTGATATGGCAATCGGCTTCAAACCCCAGGGAAGAAAAAAAGACACCAACAGCAGCCACCACCAATGCCCGATAATGACGCTGCTCAATCCAGCTCCTTAACAAGCTCTCAACACGTGATACGAAACGTCTGACGTAGTGCCGAACATCACGCGGTAAAAAACCGCAAAACGCATCGAGATTGGCCGAGAGCCTGCTATGAAGGCAGCCAGAGGTGTGGGATGAGTCCTGTTGTGGGGTAACGATGCTGTCCGGGGAGGTATTTTTACCCACGTCAGGTGTGCACACGCTTTGACATCCTTGAAATTGAAACTACAGTGCAGACAGTCCCCCAGTTACGATGGTCCGACTTACGATATTTTTGAATTACGATGGGGACCGTCGTAACGCATCTCTATCGTAAGGAGAGGACAACCAGGACTTGCTTTCGCCTGCACTTGGGTCACAACAAGCGTGGTAAGGAACACGAGGAGGAGGGGACCGCATTCCAAGAACGAAAGCCCTGTCAACGCTACAAGCCAGCACGTTCACTTTTGCATTTCGCAGCCGAGCCCAGAAATCTAATTGCAGGTTTCAAACTGAAAAGAGCATATGCCGGCTCACCGTCAATGCCTGGATTGACGCAATTTACACAAAATAAAAGTGCTCATTGTAAGCTTGCAATCTCCGTCTGGGTTAACCCGGCGGTGGCTGCTGCAGGCTCGGGGAAATGAATTTCACGCAAAAAAAAAATCGCACAACAGCCGTTCTCAAAACTCCACCTTCCTCGTGTTCCCCAGACACAAGCTTTACCCACGTGCACCGATCAATCGGCGCCCCGCGAATGATGCGTTTCACCCAAATTCATACGTCAATTGATGGCGAGCGTATCGAAGGATCGATTTGTACCGGAGAATTGAGAAGATTGGCTGCTGTGGGAAATGGGGTTTTTGGGGGGGGGGGGGGGGGAGTTGAGGGGCTGCAAGGACTAAGAGTTGGCGGATCTACCAGGTGAGTCCACGGTCACGGAAGGTTTCCGTCGCCGCGTGTAACCATCCGCGCGGATGCCTGCAGTTGCCGCCGCGTCCTTCTTAAGCGATCTACCTCCCACCCCCGCCCCAAAGGGCGCATTGAGAATATTTATATGGAAGGCGGGAGCCAATCGTTCAAAGCATTGGAAACGAAATGACACAGCGCGCAGGAAAAAATACAAAACGGGGGCGCCATTCAATGTCACGTCGACGGGAAATGAGAAATAAGCCTGTGCGAGGAACAGCACCGAATGGATTTGAATTTCATAAAACACGACTTCGTACCACACGTGTTGCACATAGAAATTAATTCATTAAACCCCCCCCCCCCCGCCACCGCCCCTTCCACCCCGACCATCTGGGAATCTTGTACAGAGACCCTACCACGAATTTCACAAGCGGGGGAGGGAGGGAGGGGGGTCAAACAACGAAGTCAAGATTTAACGAAGATCAGATTTGTAAAACAACAAAAATCACAATGAAACAACCGGGGCATAGGGCGTTTTGTGTTGTTTGTTTTTGCTAAGTCAACGCTCCCACCGACCCCCCTTCATTTTCCTTCATTGCTGCAATGAAGTGGCGGGCGGGGGGGGGGGTCAATGAAACGTTAAACGACGACAAACAAAAAATCATCGACGACCTGTACTGTTTGGACGACGGTGCCGTTACAAAAAAAAGACAATCTCATACACAGCATGTTTTTTTTTTTAGACGAAACACATCTTTGTAAATCACCCCAAGACACGAGTGGGGTGAAAAAAAAACAATTACGAGCATCAAAAGAGAACAAAAAAAAAACTAATTATAATCGAGACTACAATTTCCTACATTGAGAAAAACCATAAACATAATCAATAAACAAGCTAACGAAATCGCCGACACCAACGTGTTTATACAAATTGCAATGTTCATCTTGTACAGCTCCAGCTAGCAATATGATAAATTAAAGGGGTCGGTGATTGTTATTTTTTTTTTAAAGGGCACAAAATGAGAGAACTGATATTGCAAGAACTGGCTCCACCACGCATCATATACAGACACACAATTACCACTGTAGCCTCGCGAGATTCACTACTAGCCACAGCATACGGATAATCATTGAGTATCTGTTAAATATGCAGTGCTTGCAGTACATTGCGTACATTTATACACGATGGTCACGATAGTTTAGGCTGTAAACCAACAAAGGTTTCCCGATGATCAAGTTATAAGTTCGAATCCCAGTCAGGATTTTCCCCTCCGTCATTCGTTCGATCGATCCCGTTATTCCTTCTTGGGGAGTGGGTTGGGTTGGGGGGGGAGATGATGGTCAACATGACAACACAACAGAGTGAAAAGTAAACAGCATTTGTGCTACAGACTGCCGCAAAAACACGTGGAGTCACCACCACCCCACGCCCGCTAATGAATTTGGTGCCGATATAAAAGCAGCACCAAATGCCCCCCCAATTGGATTTCGCGCTGATCATTAAAAGAGTACCCCCCAGGGTACCCCCCCTCCCCCCAACCTCCAGTGTCATCGCTCCGCTCGTGCATATCCCGGGGCGCTGAGCGGTCAGGCGATGCCGTCACTACCCCCCTCCCCAACCCTCTTTGATGCGGACAGTTCATTAATTGGTGGTGGTGATAAAAAAAAAGACGTGAGCGTTCATGTAATGTTTCTTAATTATTATGCTTTAACGTGGGCGACGTGTTTCATCGCAGCGTGTCTTTTATTTGATATATATTTCGTTTTTGCTCCTGTAAATGGATCAAAATCGCAAGCGGTCCCAAGGCACGCGCACGCACGTAAGCTGCCCCCCCCCCACACCCCCCGCGGTTGCGTCACGTGATTCCACACTGTCCCCCCCCCCCCCAGACCATCAAACACGCTCCGCAAAATCTGGGCTCGCCATCATTGAAAGGGGTCAGCACGTGGCACCGCGGGGTCATGTTTATTTATTTATTTTCACAGCGTAACGCGCCAGAGGACCGGGAGCGGTGTTCCCTCCAAATGTCGCTCCCTCCGTCCGCCATCCCAGCCGTCTTTGCACTCCACGAGGTAAAAAAAAAAAAAGAAGAAAAAAATCCCGTGCACGTTAGGGACAACACATCGGTGTTGGTAACCCCTGCACAGAAACAATTCTCATCAGCGCCAGGGAACACGCAACGGGCGCGGCTGAGCGAGAGGCTGGGAGCTCAATTCTCATCACCGGACCAACGCTGTCACTTTGGCGGAAAGCATTTAGAGAATAGAGGGACTGGCTTTACCACCGGGGTCAGATTTGGACCCTGTGGCGTCACCCAATCACACGAGGCGGTGGCGGCTCTGCTGTTTGCGGCAAATAACTACAGCAAATGGGTTTTGAAATGTGTTTTTGCTGGCAGAACGCGAGGTCCTTTCCCTTTGCTCAAGAGTGCACACGCATTTCACTCTTTTTTTTTAAAACGCACGTTACGAAAAGTAATAAGTATCACCCGTAAAAACTAAATTTTTCACTATAAATCCTTTATATGCGTGGCAGCGAACTTAATATAAAGGATTTAAAAATATATTCGCCTGTGGAGGACGCGGGGATCGATCCCGCGACCTTTGGCATGGGAAGCGAGGGCGCTACCAACTGCGCTACTCCACCACGGCCTGTGGAGGGGTTACGCTCTGGGCTCTTATACTGTGACGTTCAGCCAAAGCCATGAATGAGTTCTATTTGAATATATGTAAAATAAATTTTTTTTTGCCTAAAAAGTGTAAAATTTTGGGAATTTTTTTTCACGAACAATAATTGTCTGGCACAACGAGTCTGTGTGGAAAATGTCAGCTCGATTAGATCACGGGAAGTGGGTTAAAAAACGACCGAAAGATTTGCACGGTCGTAAGCAAGCAAGCACGCAAGCAAGCAAGCACGCACGCACGCAAGCAAGCACGCGAACTTAATATAAAGGATTTTAAAAAATATGGAATTCCACGTTGAGAATAGGCTAGAACGTAACGTACGGATTGTGTAAAAATGCCCCAATTACATTGGAAATGTTTTAAATTCCCCCCCCCCATACCCCCACGATGTGAAGCGAAAATATCTGCAAATAATATTACGGAAATACCGGATAGATAACATTCTCCTGGGATTTTTTTATAGAAAAAAAATTTGTTTAAGGAGCACAACACGGCACGAGGCCAGGACCCACCAGGAGCAGCGACTCTCGAAGGTGACTATCGCACACGTGGGGAAAACAACGCAGTGTACAGCAAGAATAGCTTGGCGGGGTGACGCGGAAAGGGAGGAGAGGCCACACCACGTGTCGTATGAAAGACAGAACTTGAGACGCACACGGTCCCCTCAATCTGCCTTCGAGCCCGCCAAGTAGAAACAACAACAAACCCCACGCGATTGGCGCTTGAACCAACCGCGCGACTAAAAAGGCAAAACGACGACCTCCCAAGAATTGCGTGCTGAACGGGAAGACTTCCCAACTCACGAAACTAACGAGCAGCAGCGACGACAGGACGCGTCTCTTATCCCGCAACAGCGCCCGCGTTAAAACAACATTTGATTGGAAAGAACACCGACGGCTGATACCCGTCAACCAGAGTCCAATCTCTTGCAATCGACGTTATTAAAGTTCACATTGTCTTGCACGTGTACGCAGCGATAAAAGGGAAATGAGGAGATTGACGCCGTCAATATCCGGGGGGGCTTGAGCGGCTGGCACCATAAAAGAATGTGAAGTTATCGTGTGACGTAGTAGTAGTAGTAAAACTAAAAAAATCTTCTCACACGGAGGGTTGTGCGATCTGCAAGCTCCTTGCCTGCCATTTTGGCTCCGCTGGGCAGCTGCTGCTGCTGCTGCTGCTGAAACCGGACCGAATGTGGGTTTCGCTTTGTACGCTCACCCCGTTCCCCGCCAGACGTCGTCAATTTCCGCGCACACAAGCCTTCAACTTACGACGACGCCCTATTCTGCCCGTAGAGCACACAACCGCGAGCGTTGCACCGCATTGCAACAATACAGAGGGTCCACGCCCCCCCACCTCCCCCCGCTTGACGATACGCCAGGTTAAGAGAGGCACGTTTTCACGTTTACAAAGCAGCAACCGTTCGACCCTTTCTCGTATCGCTTGGCAGGCAACGATTAGCCGGGCTGGAGCAAGCCGGGGCTCAACAGCAATGTAAGTCACAACTCTTCTCCCTCGACATGTCCCGCTTGTCTGAGCGTTGGCCCAAAGTCCCCACCACACCCCTCCACTGAGGTTAAGAACGAAAAGGGGGGAAAGGGAAAAAACACGAAGCGACGTTTCTTTAATCGTGACCTTGGATTATTATGCCACTGCGAGGGATCACGATTCACCCGCCATTTGTTCCCATGCCGTTTTTGATTTCGACGGGGATTTATTTTTCTTCGCGAGGAATGTCGCCAACGCAGAGCGGAAGAAAAGTATAAAGAAGTAACGTCCCGATATACGTTTGACACTTTGCAACCGGTTTGACGGCCATCGACATTTAGTCTTTTACAGTAACGGTGTAAAAAAAAAAATCTCAACGATGTCCCGTTACGAAGGGAAACGCGTTGCGCAGTGGCTGCACTGTTGGCTTGATTTCCTGACGACGACGACGACGATGACGACGTTCCAATCCTGGTGTGGACTTCGGCGTGCAAGCCGAGCACGGCGCTCGCTCACTCCCTCGCGGGCGAGAGGCCAGGCAAACAAAAAAAGTCACCGTATTAACCAGGCCACAGACGTTTTAGTGAATTACTCGTCGTTTGTTTTTGGCCCGTCGATTTGTGCACGGAAGTAGCGGAAATTCCAAGGGGCCGTGTTTGTGAACGTGTCTCCCGCCGCGTCACCGTTTCATTACGGGAGGTAAGTGGACGGGTGTTTAGAATCACAAGTGAGGTTCTCGCGCTGGTCCCGCTCATCATCAATGATAATAATCATCATCATCAACAAAAAAATATCAAGGACAAAGTTGACTTCGATATATTTTCAACGTGGGTTTTGCTTGATGCCAATATTGAGGCATTTGAACCTGCAAGACTTGTGCGCAGGCCTCACCACGCACACACAGACACACAACCAGTCCATTCCACACGAATCCAAAATGCTTAATATACTCAAGCGTTAAGTACACCACTACACTGTAATACTCCGCTCAAGTACTGTACACAGAGCTTAACGAACTTCCAATGTTTTCGACAATGTCACTCTACATTTTAATTTCATTAATAACTGACAAAGAGGTTATTTATCCTTTGAAAGATTAAGACCTCTACGGTCCGTGTGTGCAATGTTGAGTGCATTAATACCATAATCCCTAATAAACTGTACACGGGGAGAGAAAAACGAAAGGGGTGTGTGTGTGTGTATGTGGCATGGAGGTCAATCTGCCTGTGTGTGTGTGTGTGTACGATGGCAGGCAGCAGCGGCACGCACTGCCCGCTGCAGTAAACGCCACGAAAAACGTGCCCCCCCACCCCACCCTTTTCGTTAACCCACAATCGCCGGACAGACATGAGACAGGAAATAACCATCACCACCCCCCCCCAACCCCACCACCACCATCCCCAAAATCTAACGCAAACTCTAAAGAGGGGGGGGGGAAGGAAACACAAAAAATCGTAATCCGCTTTGCGTGCCGCTTGGCCCGCCGTTTAAATCCACACGACGTCGCGGTCCGGCGCGTTCCTCTCATTGTCTCTCGCTCTCTCCTCGTCGCTTGGGGAGTCGCGTCGACTCGTCGTGGTGGTGGTGGGGGGGGGGGGTGGGAGGGGTCGGTGGTGGGAGAGAGCCAGGCCCTCGTGTTCCTGTCCAATCCTCGGAGCGCTGGCCGACGCGCGGGTCGAGGGTAGGGGGGGGTAGCGGCGGTTCACGGCACGGCGCTCACAGCACGGGCGCTGCGGCGCGGTGAGGGGCGGTGGCGCCCGCCGTGGCGTTGGGGGGGTGCAGCACGGGGAGCGGGTGAGCCTCGGTGTTCAGCACCCAGTGATCCAGCGGCAGCAGGTCATCTTCGGAGAACAGCAGGTAGAGGTACCTGCCGAACACGACGCCACCGTCACCGGGACCGCGCGGGCGACGGCGATCCAAGCGGGGCCTGCAACAGGCTGAAGGGGCCCGGATGGTGGGGCTATCTAGAGGGGTTAAATTGGACGGGGGTGGTTGTGGGGGGCGGCTTTCACCCCCCACACCAGGGCCCATTCCAACCACGCTACGACGCTGCCCCCCACCAACCCGCCGACGTCACATAGCGGTGCCACCCCTGGCGGCAAAGTCAGCGGTGTGTCTTTACCAGTGGAGACTGTGATTAACTATTTAATCGAACAAAGACGGTCACTCGCATCGCGCGCTTGCAGATGCGCTTCTGCGGCCGTCTGGAACGCCCTTCCTTCCGATATTAGGAAGCGACGAAATCTATACTGAAAACTAATTCCTTTCGAACTGCTTTTTGTGTAGAGTATCTTGTCTACCCCCCCCCCCGCGCCTCCGGTTAGCGCGGTTGGCTACGTACGGTGTGAAAGAAATTCATCGTGCATACACACGTACAAAGGTGCAGCCCAGCAACTGCCCGCACACACCCCCCGCAGGTGGAAGGTGCCTTTCCACCAGAGGGAGCTCTACAGTGGGTGTTTGGGATCCACATTGATCACGCTGACCAGAGGTTGTGGAAGAGGTGGGGTCGGTACTCATCTATTTTCACCAGGTAAGGCCCACTGACCTCTATAGCTCTTTTTCAGAAGCAACCTGGCTGCCAATGTCGATATTTAAAGCAGCCAAACGCTCTAAAAGCACGTTGACTCTAAATGTAGAGGGAAAAATCCAGAGGACCCGGAGAAAAATCCACGCGACCACAGGAATCAAGGTCGGGATCGAACCCACGGCCTCCGTCATACCAGGTGAGGCAGTTAACATCTCGCCACCGCGGGCAGGCGCCAGTGGCCGCGCTCGCAACTCACTTGAGGGTCTCGGCCAGGAAGAAGCTCTGCTGGACGTCGTCGTGCATGGGCGACCCCGAGTACACGTCCTTGACCCCCGAGTAGCCTCCCGACACCTTGCAGTGCTGCTCGATGGCCTGCCGTGGGGTGGGGGGGCGAGGGGACACGAGGAAGCGGAGAATCAGCAGAGGCTACGCACGCAGCGACTCTAAAGAGGGGCCCAGCGGAGACCAGAACTTACGAAGACATGAGGTGACAGAAGTTGACTATGATTTTGATTTTTTTTTGTTTCCTTCTAAAGACTGGGATTACAGCACACAGCAATCATCGCCAACCCCTCCCCCTCCTCTAGCACCCTCCTTGAAAGAGAGTACACGTGACCCGGGCGAGGCGTTCCCACGGGGTAAACGAGCGTAGCAAAAGTAAGAGCATGGGCGGGGGGCGGTTGCTCACACACTCTCTTGCGCACACAGAACAAGAAAATATAACCCACCAGGGCGACAATCGTACTACGACTGCTCACTTGTTCTCTAGCAATATTTTCCTGTTCACGACTCAACGGACACACACGGGAATACATGGATAAGCAATGTACTCTAAATCAGTTTAACACGTAGTAGCAGTAGGCTCTCGCGACATATATTATCCATTATAAAGGGTTTTATTTTTGGGTTAGATCGCGTGAATATTAATGTGTCGTTAAGACCGAAACAGGAGGACTTCTTCACAATTCCTGCTATCGCCTGATGAAGCTTCCTCTCCCAATACACCGGCAATGCTAAAGCAATAACTTAATTGGCACGTTTTGTTTACGTGACAAACCTTACTAATTGGCTGCGTCAGGTGGTGGCGGGTTTAACGACACTTTCATATTTTCGCAATCTAACCCCCCAAAAAACCTTTATCATGGTACTTAAAATCGGCAAAATAAACAAAAATGCAGCTTTGTTTTAGAGAGGGACGTGACCCCAGCAAACACAAACTCTTGAGGGGCCAACAGATTGACCACGAATGCTCACTGAAGACACGTGCGGACAAATAGCTGAATTATTATTTTTTACGACACCGTGGGTAGAGCAAGGAGACCCAAATTAGAATTCCGCGGCACGCGCTAACAAGTGGTGAGCGATCGCTAAACCGCTCCTTGGCACACCCCTCCCCTTTCACCAATCCGCACTAACCAGTACGGTGAAGTGTGGTCAAACAACTCCTACGACCTTCATCTAGCAGTGAATTGACAAAGGCCTGAAAATGATCACCATCGTCATTCTACTACTACTACCGCGGACACGATTGTGATGTTTGTCCATCATTCCGAGGACCAGCCTCTGTGCGCACGGTCGTGGTGGCCATGTGGGCACGCGGTGGCTAGGAGATGTTAACTACCTCGCCTGGTATGCAGGAGGTCGTGGGTTTAATCCCGACCCTGACGCCTGTTGTATATTTGGAGTTTGCATGTCCTTGCACTGTGGTCGCGTGGATTTTTCTCTGGGTTCCCTCCACATTTAGAATCAACGTGCGTTCAGATTATTTGGCGGCTATAAATTTCCACTTGGTGAGTCACTTCCTTGAGCTTTAATTTGTGGCCAGGTTACTTCTAAAAAAAAAAGAGCTATATAGCTCAGTGGGCCTTACCTGGTGAAGTAAAAATAGTTTAGTTACGTGGTGAGCGAGGGCACTGCCAAAGCTGGCTTTAAAGATACAACGAGCAATTTAGCATCCGTGTCAACAATGGGCTCGTCTTGTGCCCATCATCCTGCCAGAGGATTGGCAGCGGTGCAGATTCTCTTTCCATTTCCCTGTCTTCTGCCAGCGCTCATTGCGTTGGTGACCTGCTCACCCGTCAATTAAAATTAGTCATCTTCCCACCGCATTATTGGTTTTTCCCGTGTTCGCTGTCCAAGTGCACATCATTGTATTATGACCTATTCCAAAAATCTCTGTCTCTGGTACGGGTTCGCACGAGTTCCCTTCTCATCCCGAACGTTTCTAGAAAACACGGTCCCAACTGTCCCACAATCTGTCCGCGATGCCCGTGGGCGTCCCTCTTGTACGAGCTCGCAGTTCACAATCACAAGTGGAACTCTGTGGGTGAAACGGAGCCGCGCGGGCATGTCGGCTGTGCCCAGCTGGCCGCGTAGGAGCCACGCCAAGGAGGGGGGAAAAAACGGCAGTGGTCGGTTTGGCTCAACGCCCACGTCCCCTCCCCCCCAACGCCACCGTCTCGGTCTGGCGGGCGGCTGTGGTGCGCTACCCGGCCATCGGTGGCCCCCCGCCACGCTCCATCGCGGGTGGAGCGCAGACACAGCCTCCAGCGAGACTCACGCTGGGGCTATCCTTCCATTGCAACGTTCAGAGTTGTTGCGATCACAGCGTGGAAAATAACGCGCTGGGCTGCCAGCGGAATGGTGTCGCGTGCGTGCGTGCGTGGTGACACGATATTTCGTGTATCGTGACAATATTAAATCTGTTTTATCCTTCCGGACGATTCTTTGTTCTGCGAAGGGCGGAACGAAACCATTTCCGAATGGCAAGAGATTGAAAGTATGCAGAGAAAACCGCGTACCATACATATGCCCACGGGCAACAGCGCACCGGTCTGTGATACATCGTAGAGGACCGGCTTGTAAACCTGCGCAGTGAAACCTATACTTCACCACGGCCGTTAAGAATCTAGGGCTGCTGACGTGTCCTTAACAATAATAATAGTAGCGATATAGTGAATGTTATCAGTGGACAAGAATCAACAAGAATACAAAATAAGTCATGGAACAACAGAAAGAGTAAATATGTCCGCGTTGTCAACAGTTATTGTTTAAAACAAGATTTACATCTTGTAAAAAAAAAAAGTTGGTGCCTGCGGAGACTTTTACTGGCTCGGTTTATCACTCCCGAATTCTTACAGCTCATTGGCTTCATCGTGTCTTTACTAGACTGCCAATGCTTATTAACCCTCCAATCAATCACCCTGGCAATACCATCTGCCTGGCACGTGGAAAAGGGGAGAGCTGTACGTACGCACGCACGCCGTTAATGCATCGCGAGATGATTTTAAAAAACGACGCCAACTGTGGTGGGGGCTTGGTGGCACAGGTCCAAAAATAAAATTTACAAAGATTGAATCACCGCCAGCACCGCCAGCACCGCCCCCCACCAACACCGCAACGCCCACGACGCACAGCTGCCGAAGTGGGATTATACGATTGCATACGGGACCGGGCACGCTGTGAATCATTTAGAGCCTCGCGAACGGGCAGAATGTTGTACGGATGTATATAATTTGAACTTCTTTCGCCACAGTAGGTAGCCAACCGTGCTAATCGGAGGTGCGGAGGAAGGAGGACAAACTTAACACAAAAAGCAGTTCTCAAGAAATGAGTGGTCAATCTAGATAATTTCAAAGTCCATAGCTGCAGTGGCTTCCTAATATCGGAAGGAAGAGCGCGTTCCAGACGGCCGTGGAAGCGCACCTGAAAGCGGTGCGCCGCGGCGACCGTCTTTATTCGACGGCCAGACAAAATCCGCCGCTGCTGCTGCTGCTGCGAGGATTACCGGAGTTCGCGTGACGGTTTATGCTTTTTGACGAGCTCAGAGAGCAGCTGTGGTTTATTTGTGGCGAGCACTTAGTGTGTAATGAGCGTGACCTCATTTTCACGTTGTTCGTAACTCTTCGGCGACAGCGGTTGCGACCAGTGCATTTGCGCAGCTGTGGGAGGCCTCTATCTTCGTGAAAATGCGGTGTCGCATGCCTCCGTCACACCCGTGGCCGCATTTCCCGCGACCACGAAGCAAACCCGGACTCGGCGGGAACCGACGTTATGCCCGGACGTAATCAACAGCAGATGCTAAATGCCGAATGCAATGTACGTTTGGCCCACTCGAATGGACGCATCGGGATGGAGGAAGCTCATCAAGAGAGCTAAATTGCGCAAAAATTACATATTACGCTCCCCATTTGCCGTTTCGTGCACGTGCACGCGCACATACCACATACGCACGCGTAAGGAGGCTCCGCCAGGAGACGTAACCGGGTACGCGCACGTGTGCACGCGCGCGCTGCTCTAGATGATGCGTGCATCCTGATTAAAACCCATCAGACTCGATGATAATTAAGGACCTGTGCGATGATTGGCAACGTAACATAAACAGTTAAAAATGAAAAAATAACCCCACTGGTACCCTCTCAGCGTTACAGGGTGTGCGCGCTGCATGCAGAGGGAAGCGCGCTCGATCTTGACACGCGCACGCTTCGGAATGGGGCAGGCAAGCGGGAAAAGGGGAGGTTTGATAAGACCGCTGAAAAGTTGCGCAAGCTCTTAAAATAGCTGAACACGTAGGATTTCGCGACCGATATCATCCATAACAGAGGTGTTTTGGGTCAGATCGCGTAAATATATAAATGTGTCGTTAAACTCCGCCACCACCCGACACAGCCAATCAGTAAGGTTTGTCTCTTAAAGCACTTCTGGGCACTTTGCGTACACCTCGAGAAGACGCCGATCGCCCGCTCGCCAAATCAGGGCTCTCGCTCTCTCTCTCTTTCTCCCACCCACGAACTTCCGACAGCAGTCCTTCACTGTTGGCAATCATCACATCCCATCTGTTGCGGATATTTCTCCGTAGCCAACCACGCTAACCGGAAGTGCGGTGTGGGGGGGCAGAGGGAGGACGACAACTAAACACAAAAATCAGCTGTAAAGAAACGACAAACAACAATAATAATACGATGCGGCGATTCGGACCACATACCTGCGCTGCCTCCCAGCCCCACTGTCGGTACTTGGGGTCGTGCGTGAACCTCCACATGTACCAGTACGTCTCCAGAACCTCGGGCCGCAGGATGTAGTACTTCTCGTTCTGGCGCACAGCCACCGCCTCTGCACCGCCGTCGAATTTGAACGCCTCCGGTCCGAGCTTCAGAGCTGGCGGTGGCGGAGAGCAAACGGCAAATAAATACGAGTCAAAACGAAAACCACAAACCGTGTTTTATTTTACCAGGTAAGGGCCACACCGAGCTTCGTAGCTCTTTTTCAGAAGCGACCTGGCTATAGCAAATGATAGCGCCAACGAAGTGGGCTTGTCATCGTGTGGAAATTTATAGCGGCCAAATACTCTCAACGCGCGACGTTTATTCTAGAATGTGGAGGGGATAAACCGAAGGTACCCGGAGAAAGATCCACGACACCACGGGGGGAGGGGGGGGGGGGGGGGGGGAGAGACAACACGCAAACTCCAAATGTACAGCAGGCGGTGAGGGTCGGGATTAAAACCCTGACCTCCTGCATACCAGGCGAGAGAGTTAACATCTCGCCACCACGGCACGGCAAGTGAGTCACAAAATTACGATGCGGGCGCAGATTGTAAACGAGAGACAACAGCAGCCTCCGCACTGCTGCAACAGCACGGCTTCAAAACCAGAAACAAAATAAAATATAATCGATAAACACAGGGCCCCCCTCTTCATTGGAGAGCCCCATCCCCAAAGCCCCCCACACATGATCTGAAAGTGGCAGTAAAAATGCCACTGAGCCACCCCGTAAAGGCTGTGGATTCTCTCTCGAGAGAGAAAGACAGGAAGAGCTATTGCTCGCCTCCAAACAATTCCGAGTGACCTCCCCGAACCTTTTGCCCCTTAAAAAGTAGAAAAGGACACAGAGACATCACGCAATTCAGGACTGCCGATTTGTTGTTTATAATGTGGATGCAATTAAAATGAAAAGTCAATTCATAAGAGTTGAACGGGTGGCTCGGAGATCAATACTGGGAACGTTCAAGTTCACCGATGTAGTTTTTATAGATTTATTTTTATTGCGGTGCAAACACTCACACTGCACATAGGAGCAGGTGCAGTGAGGCAAGTGAGAGGGATGTGGCTAAGCAGGGGGCAGCCACCAAACCCACATCTCTCTTGTCGGCCCAAGGGGAAGCAATGAAAAATAAAATGAGCCTTGAAATTTATAGAGTATTTGGCTGCTATAAATTTCCACGTGATAAGCCACTTCGTTGAGTTACCGTTTGTGGCCAGGTCGCTTATGAAAAAGAGCTATACAGTTCAGTGGACCTTACCTGGTAAAATAAAATGTGTTTCCTTCACAATTTGCTTACCTTTCCTATAATTCTACGTGACTTTACAGAAAAAACCAAAGAGTATGAATACCTTTCCTATACTTTGGACTCCTATCGGTTTTTTTTGTATTGTTTGTTGTTGTAATGTCCTGACCTGCCCTTACTGGACAAAAGGGCTTCATAGCTCATCGAATTCCTGCAGTATAAATATTCGGATTCTGATTTTCTTGCTGTGGATTTCACACCTGATGACGATTGCGTGTGTTGCAGTCGAAAGGTCGTGAGAATTTTTATTGTTTTATATTAATATTATTTTATTATTTCCCTTCTACGTGACTTTACCGAAAGAACCAAGAATATTTCTGATGTGTTGTTGAGAAAGACGTAGAAGGAAGGCCTGGTTACCATCAAACACCCAGAGGCTGACGCATCCGTACGTTACACCCAATCTATTATTCATTTTTTACCAGCTAAGGCCCACCGAGCTACATAGCTAAACAAGCTCTTTTCACATCCAGTCTCGCTCTACGACGGCGGCGGCGGCGACGACGACTCACCCGTGCGAGCGTACGACTCGTGGCACGTGTGCGCTATCTTGGCGCCCAGCTCCAGGAAGTGGCCCGCCTTGTCGCCCGGCGAGCCGTCGGCGCCCAGCGCGAACATGCCGCCCGCAAAACACGTCAGGTGTCCCATCTTCTTTTCCAGGTGGCCGTTCTTCCACTCGCCAATGTAGGTGAGGCCGCCCTCAGACTTGCGCACCAGGTGCCGCTCAATGCCCTGTATGCACCCCGCACACACCCCCCCCCCCGCCCCGCCGATCGTAAACGTGAGGAAAGAAAAGGAAAAATTAGGAATGTCGTTTGAGCGCGTGCAACGCACTCGAACACCACACCGTTCGCTCTCAGAGAAAACAATGCCGCCTACAGAGGAGCGCAACGAGGCGGCATCGCGCGTCGTGACATCGTCGGGAGGCGAGAGGAGAACGAATGAGGCGTGACTTCGTTGCCTTCGCCGACAAGGCTGAACCTTGAAATGCTGGTTTTTAAATCGGTAAGTTTTGAGCAAACGTGATCGGATTCCTGCAGAGTAAATGCCTTACACAGCAACACAACTTTATACCGCAAGTGTTATCGTCACTCCACGTTACAGACCGACGAACAGGCAAACAAGCATTCGTGTGCTCAACCTCAGTTGGAGAATGTTAAAAACCAAGCATGTGCGTGAAGCATCTGCTCTCGTGCCCACGGCAGACATCCATGCCCGCCCACGGCTACGTCGAACCCCAGCCTCGTCACTCGCTCTCATGTGGCCGCTGTGCTTTGGCTCGCTCCTGCACGGCTCAACTAACACTCGGAGAGCCTCCAAGGGACCACGAACATTTAAAATATGCCGGGGACCGGCCAACGGCGGCACTGTATTAGCGCCTGTAATTGGGGACGCGTACCTGCACCAACCTTAAATCTCCGAGCGGCGAAGTCTACGCGGGCTCCTAGGGGCAACAGATTAACACGAGAGGGCAAACGGCGGAGAAAAACGACAGGCCGACGACTTCCACGATTAACTCGCGGCACCCGGTGGCATGCCCGGCGAGTAACATTTGTCAAAGGACAGCAACATCGGCGAGGATCAAACCACAACAGCGCGGAAAATCGTATCGCCACCAAGTTGACCGTTGCAGTAATTTTCCATCTGGCGGGGCTCCCGGTGGTTCCTTTATCTTTGTTTATTCATTCGGCGGCGTAACTTTGAAACATTTGGCACGCACCGCACACGCTCCCAAGTCATTCTTGAAGCTGGCGGGGAAAGGGGGGTGTGGGGTGGGTGTGGGGGGATGCGCGGGTGGCGGGCGGGGGGGGTTGCGGAGTGTCACAGTTCGCCTGTCGGGAGGTGCCTCACCTCGATGGCGTCGTCGTACATCTTGCGCGCCTCCGTGTCCTTCTTGTCAGACATGATCCAGGCCTTGAGCAAGTATTCGTAGAAGCTGTCGCCCAGGCCGCCCACGGACGAGTGGACTGCACGCACGCATTCACACAGCGAGCACACGGGTCTTGGCCCTAGCAACATTCGTCTGTCGAGGCGAATACTTACAAGGTCGCCCACGTCCCTTGACATTGTGTGTCGTTCGCTCCGAGAACAGGCTTCAGGGCTTCGACGAGTTTGCCTGCCCTGTGAGTTCATGTAAGATGCGGTGGCGAGATGTTAACTACCTCGCCAGGTATACAGGAGGTCGCGCGTTTGATCCCGACCCTGATGCCTGTATATTTGGAATTTGCATGTTTTCTCTCCCCGTGGTCATGTGGATTTTTCTCCGGGTCCTCTGGTTTTTCCCTCCAAATTTATAAACACGCGCTTAGAGTATTTGGCTGCTATACATTCTCACGTGATAAGCCACTTCATTGGGCTATCATTTGTGGCCAAGTTTGCTTCTGAAAAAGAGCTACATAGCTCAGTGGGCCTTACCTGGTAAAATAAAAATAAAGTTTTTTTGAGAGTTTTAAGAGTTTATTGTGTTATTAAAAGTTCACGAGCATCACAGGGCATTGTGAGATTTTTTTTCCAACACCAAGCTGACGAGTACTCTAAGGAAACTTGCCAGCACATGTGATTTGCTAGGCCCTTGGGCGTGTGTGCTAGATTCACTGACCCTTCTACCCTTCAACAAATGTTGGGCACTGAGCACACAGATGTTCAGTTCCTTGTCATACCGGGGTCAAGGTTAGGTCCACGTAAACACACACACACACACACACCGCACATACACATCTTTCTAGTTGCCGTTTAAGCTCGTGTGGTTTGACTGCTGCATTGGATGGATGTTTGCGATAAACTGTCAATTCATTTTTTAGCAAACTGCACATGACTGAAAGATACAGCCACAACTGTATTGAAAATGCGGTATGTGTAAGGATGAGGCAATTGGCTTCGTGTGCCGGTGGTTTTATTTTAACCGTGCGATAAACAACACGTTTTTGTCCCGCGCAAAATGTTCTAGGCGCAGTCTCGCACATTGAAAGCAAATTGCATTTTAAGTGCCGTCCAGACGCACAAACAAGCAATGCGTCGGTCAGAACTTCAGGCAATGGGCTGTGGGGCAATTTCCCCGTCAGCAGGAAAAAAAAAGAAGAAAAAACACCCAGTGCATCGATCACATGGCAAAGCTACAAAAACGCTCATCTCCGGACAAAGCCGTTTGGGCATCCGCTGGCTGGGATTCAATTCTTCCTGCGGCACGGAGAGGAACATCCCCCGCATCTGCACGTCGCGGTGCGTGTGTGCTTTCAACTGTGCGTGCGTGCTTTCAGCACGCACGCACAGCAATGACGACGGTCCCGATTTCGTCGTGCGACAAGCTGTTTTAATCTCGGATAATCATCGCCCGACATCTGCAGCACCGCATATTGAAATCACGTTCCTCCGCTGTTGCTCCCCCAAAGCGTGCACACACGCGTCTCGACAAAATCATTTTGGTCCGGGGAAAAAACATTCCATCTGAGCCTCCGGCTTCGCAGGAGCGGCGATGAAACGCGATGCATTTAAACGTGCACCCGCAAAGCCGAGCCTGACGAACGGGCGTTCAAAACCAATGAACCGCCCCCCTCGGCACTGTTCTATAGTCCGCAAATTATGCCAAGAGATATGCTGCACGGCCTCTTCTGAACTGCTATGCGGAGCGCTGCAGATGAAAGCTCCGAGCGAGGGCATTGCCCTTTCATTCACCTGTCCCGCTTGCGATTTGCGCGACTGTGTTCGTGTTGGAGCGTGCCATGGTCTTTTTTTACGTATCGAGAACAAAATAAAAATAACTCAATGCGGCGTCGATTATAGTTTTGTGCAAAGAGGGCCACCGCTAATTCGCATTGATCAGCACAAACAGTGCCACAAAAAAAAACACAGCGGGGGAGGGGGGGGACGACAAGCGTCACACCAGATCGGGGGCCGTCACGCCTTTAAAAACAACCGTGGACCGATGGGCAAAACGCGCGCACGCTTCCGCGCGCGTTTTTGCGCCGCTTCGGATTCCAAACGTTCAAAAGAGCGGGGCCCGCCATAGCGGCTGGCTGCCCTTTCTGGGGCGGGGGAGGGAGGGCAGTCGCGGCGCAGAAGCGCCGGATGGGGGATACTTGAGCCTCTCAGCTCCCCTCGCCCCCAGACCCCCCCAGACGCCCCCCCCCAAGCCCCAAGGTAGGCGGGTAAAACAAATAAATGATTCCGCCGTGTTCGTGGATTGTCAGCCGGGCGTTCGCTCGGCAGGAGCCGCCCCTCGCTCTCAATTATGGCAGCGGCGGAACGGTTAGGAGCTCGACGTAAACGTGCTCTCTGCTGGCGCGTCTCCCGTGACGCGCCAGCGGGCGAGTTGGGTTCTGTCGTGGGCGCTGTCTCGACGCAATCGTCGGGTTCTAAAACGGGCTCGGAATATGAAACGGCGATTGATTTTTAGTTAAGCGTAAAATGTTAATGCTGTCCTGACTCGGCAACATCCCTGCAAATGTGCACACGCCCCCTTTAAGTAACATGCCACAGGCGTGCATGTTATTGAACACTCAAACGGGCACGCGCACCGCGCACACACACACACAAAGACATCAAGAGCTCGAATAACTCGTTGATTCTGTCAATTCGTCAGCACGACTTAGCTTGTAATAAAGCCAGTCAACGGCGGATCAAAGGTTAAAGAACATCGGCAAAAATACTGTCATCAATCCTGTATCACGTAAAACGCGTGACCTTTAACCGCTGATCGCCACGTTGACTTCAGCGCTCTGCACACCGCCAATGCAGTGGGCTTAAACGCCAAGCTCGGAGGCACGGACACAAGGAGGGGGGGAGGGGGGTCTTCACTAGGAGACACGGGGAGGGGAGACTGCATCTACTGCACGGATGCAAGCGGCCAGCCAGCCAGGCACACCGCACGCCGCCCTACATAGCAGGCCACTCAGAGGACCACCGATCCCCTGGCGAGCCCCGGCGATTCCCAGCACAGGCTACGGCGCTGCTAATTCAAGGGGAAATGTCGCCAGGTCTGGGACGATCTGGGCCAGGAAAGGTGTTTTACCTCCCGCAGGCCATTGGCTTATCGATTGAGCGTAACACACATGTGGCCGTGCAGGAATTTTGTAACTGTGCATCTATTTGCTTATTTATTTTATGTCAAGTCCTTTTATAGCGGACACGGTGCACAGAGCGCACGACTCTGCACACGCGTCGTTTAAAATACCGTGGTGAAGGCTCACCACGGAAACGATGACATTTATAAATTGGTGACAGCCTGTTATGTCACAACTGGTACAGGAGAAGTGGGGAGAGGTTGCGGGCGCAGGAGGGGGGGCAGGGAGAGAGAGGTGGAGGAAGAGAGGGGGGGGAGAAGCAGGGGGAGGGGAGCGGGTGGGGGCACAGGGGGGAGAGGCGGGGGGGACAGGGGTGGGTGGGGGGATCTAAAATCGCTGGGATCAGCTACGGTCTGCTCGTCAGCACGAGTCAAACCCGCCGGGCGAATAGACGGGAGCTGCGGCGAACTGCGGGTGGCGCTGGCTGGCACCTTGCATGCCGACGCTACGCCTCCGGTCACTTACATCCCGTTTTCCCCGGCTGGCCGGCTGTGTCGGACAACGGTGCAGAGCGAGAGGAAGAAAAAAAGAAAATGCCCCCTCGGCAAGTCAAACGAACGCAATTGCGCGGAACGAACGCGCGGCAGGACGGGCGAAGACGGGCAGAGATGTGCGCAAGAGGGGGATACAGGACAGCGCTAAATAATGCATGAGCACAATTAAGCCTTTAGACAAACTTGCACGTGAAGGCAGAAAGTAACATTAATGGGGGTTGGGGGGGGGGGAACCAACAACGTTAAGATGAAGGGTCAACTTGCGATAATCCAATAGCCTTTCCTGCTGACAGCAACAAAAATACGTTTCACGTCGGAACGTGGAAAAACCGTTCCGCAGAAAGACGAAACGATTAGACAAAACACACACCGAGAAAGAGCACATGAAGGCGAAAAAAACAAGAGCAAACATCAGCATCCATCTCTCCACACAGACAACACGGGATGGAATAAAACCTATAACTGTACACGTGCCCTGGTGTTGAAGGGGGGGGGGGGAGAGCTGGGGGTGGACGGTGCAGGGAGGGGAGGGGGGGGATTTGTCTCGTTACGCAGATCTAATAAAAGCACACATCTTGCTGGGGCCAGAATCTCATTACCTGCCAGTCACAGAACACTAAGAAAACAATTTGCATTGATTATGCAAGTCAAATAGGACCTTGGCTGCATCCCTCCTCCAGGGGAAAGATACTAGTTTTCCAGCTGGATCGCTCGCACACACAGAGCACTCAACAACAACAACAACAACCGCCATTCGCCACTAAGTGGCGGTGACGTCACCACGATGCTTGTGCCAGGCCAAGTGCACCTTGAGGCCACGTGAAGTGTCGAAAGCCCGCTGGCAGGAGGTCACGGGGCAGACCCAGGTGCCACGGGTCGACTGACCGAGATGACCGAGATGACTGGCTGATGCACCAACTGTGCCCCCTACTGTGCCAACTTGCTGTGCTTTAGCCACCCGGCGCTCCGCTCGTTGTTGTGAGCGTCGCTCCTCCGCCCTCCGTTGTTGTTGGAGGGCGACTGCCTCCAACTGCCCAGTAGCGTCCTTCACGAGCCTCCTCCACTGAGGCCGATCTTGACACCGCTGGTACCAGTCATCGGCAAGTCCACTCAGCTCCACGTCCTCCTGTACCACATCACTCCATCTCTTCTCCAGCCCGTGCCGCGCCCGTCTAGCCCCCTCGATCCGGCCGAACAAAAGCTGTTTAGGCATGCGGTGGCTGGGCATGCGGGCTACATGACCCAGCCAACGCAGCCTTGCCTGCCGGAGGAGCTCACTGATGGGACTTTGCCCAGATCTTTCAAGGATTTGTGAGCTCCTCACACAATCCAGCCTGGTTAAACCCAGGATGGATCGTAGGCAGGCCAGCCTAAATGTTTCCAACCGGCGAAGATGCTCCACCAGGGGGGTCCACGTCTCGCAAGCGTAGAGAAGGGAGGGAATGACCGTGGCCGAGAAGACCTGAAGCTTCGTGCGGAGCGACAGACCAGGTAGCTTCCACACAGCGTTACGCAACCGATGAAAAGATATTGCCGCTCGACTGATTCGGAGTGAGACCTCTGCTGATAGACTGGAGCCGGTCATAAGCACACTGCCCAGGTATGGGAAACTCTCCACTCTCTCCACAACTGCCCCATCACCAATTGGGAGTTGTGGGGGTGGAGTGTCCGATGGTACAAAATACCCAGGCAGGTGCTTGGTTTTGGTGGGGCTGATGGTAAGGCCTCTTAGTGGCACGCTCCAGTCTCAGCAGCAGCGCCTCCAACTCCTCTAAGTAGACACAAAGACAAATATCCCCGTAAAGCTTTCAACAGACTATTGGGGCAAGTGCTGTTAGCGAGCACCTATGAAGGCCGGCACGCCACACGTGGCCAGCACCACGCCCGGCCGCCTTTGTCTCTCCAGCGGTGATGTTTACACACCAGCTACTCAACTGAGGTTGAGTCGACCTGGGGAAGGCCCAGGACCATTTCAGATCATCGTCACCAGTGTTTACCGTGAGCGGGAATCGAACTCGGGTCGCCGGGTTCCTAGTACAGCTCGGATCGCCGGGTTCGTATCGCAGTGCGCTAACTGCTGCACCACCACTCCCCACACGAGCACACAAAAAACAAAGACAAAGATCGCCCATATAGCCTGAAAAGACTGTTGGGTAAAGTGCTGTTAACGAGCACATATGAAGGCCGGCACAGCACGCGAAGGGGGTGGGTAGCCAGCACCCACGCTCGACTGCCTTTGTCTCCCCTAGTGGCGATGTTTACTACACATCGCACCAGGAACCCATTTGAGGCCGAGTCGACCTAGGGGAGGCCCACAACCGCTTCAGATAACTGTCACTGGTGTCGGCCGTGTGCGGGAATCGAACTTGGGTCGCCGGGTTCGCAGTGCAGCGCGCTAACCGCTGCACTACCACTTCCCACATGCGCACACACAGACAGACATCGCTATGCAGACACACACACACACACAGGCACGCTCGCGCAAGCTCCTCCGACTGGCCAACACTGCACTGAACAATGGGGATTGTGCACACTGTACACGTGACACCACGTTTCGTGTTAAACGGCTTCCAATTTTCTCCAGAAATAAAATTATGACTCAACTGGGAGCGAGGCCTGGCCATTATTTGTTGCGCTCTGCCAGCCCTTATGTGTCAAGTTAATTTAACGGGGCTTTTTTTCTGCAGAGGGAACAACCCGCCCACCGCCGAAGCAATTCCGAAGGCGTGCAACGACTGAAGCGCGCGAAGGGAGCTTGTGAAAAAACACATCATTTACACAAACAGTGCAGACGACACACACTGCATGGCACCCATCGCGTAATTATTATTTCCCATCGGTGAACACAGCGCTAGAGCCACATACACACACACACGCACGCGCAGCAGCGTAGGAAACATTTGCTCCGATCAACGCACGACTCTGGTTGAAATCTGCGTAGGTCAGAGTTTCAAACGCTGTGTTCTCTGACAGGGACGTACCGGATTCACGGCGAAGGCTTTCATCTCAAAGCGCTCGCGTTTTTATTCCGCCGGCTCATTTGGATTCCACCCCGAATATTTTAGCGACTACCACCGGCCAAGGCTGACCGCGGTAGCTCGAAATGCAACGCCTCTCTCGCACGCTCGCAGTGCCATGAGCTTCAACGGCAGCTCCTGGCCGTCAGTGCGGCCACCAAAGAATCCGGGGAAGAGATGCACATTAATCTTATCACACCGCCTCAAAGTGAACCGGTCAAAGCACTGGATAACGTTCACTGCTGAAAGCTGGCAAGGGGGGGGAGGCGGGGTCTGTCTCTCAGTTATGATCAAATGGTTTTTCATAAGACACAAAAAGTGTGCGTTAAAATCGCCATATACCAGGCTTAAAACAGCCGTATACCAGGCTTAAGCACTTACGCTTACCCCCCGGGATAATTTTAGGGCGATCGGCACCAGCGATCGTTACCACCGCATTTCCTGTTGTAGAAATGTAGTTGCCAAAAATACGGACTGATCTGATCGCAGCTCCTCATGGCGGGCGACTGGGACGGCCGCTTCCAATCAGATCGCTGGTGGAGGATCACGTGACTGTCCGACGTCAAGCTGACTCGTCAAATGAGAATAGCAGCCAGCTTCAGGTCGGTGCATCGGTGGGATGTGGACAGATGAGAGGGGAAAGCCTCGTGATCGATTTCTTTTCCCGCTAAGCAAGGCTCATATTGTAATGGGTTCTACTGAGTGAGTGACTGACTGACTGGAAATAACCGCCACATAAACGACACCGTCACTCCGATTCCGTTGCCCGCTAAGTTGAAGGTAGCCACGCTCATGGTTAATGGGGTTTGCCGGTGACAGTTACGAGCAACGATTAGCCATAAAAGTGTGCGAGAGAGATCGTGGTCTTGGGGATAACCTCCAGTTGGTAACAGCGCAAAGCACGGGAGGGGGCACGCCAACGCCGCTGGGATAATCACGTCGGGGTGAATCCACTTCTCAAACTCACATTGGCCCCAGCGTCCTGTGCGTGGGTGGAGGTAGTTGGGGTAGAGCCCATTGGGACGGTCCATCTTCTGCAGGATCCCACGGATCTTCATCACCTGGGCGACGCAGAATGAGAATCAGAGTATTGACTTATACCCGAGGAATCCGATGAGCTGTGAAAATCGTTTTCACAGGTGTCCACAAAGTGCAAGCCAGAATGTTACAACAAACAATAGGAAACATACAACAGGAATGCAAAGTACAGGAAAGGTAAACAAATATACAAATAAAACATTTTTTTTTATCTTACCAGGTAAAACCCACTGAGCTATTTAGCTCTTTTTCAGATGCGACCTGGCCACAAATGATAGCTCAACAAAGTGGCTTATGACGTAGAAATTTATAGCAGCCAAATAATCGAAATGCGTGACACCGATTCTAAATGTGGAGGGAAACTGCAGGACCCGGAGAAAAATCCACGTGACCGCGGATATCGAACCCACGAGCTTCTGCATACCAGGCCGCCGCGATGCCCCGAAGGGAAAGTACACGGCACGACCAGGCTGCAGACGCAGACATTTGAGATTGAAAAATGAAAAATAAAAAATTATTGTGAGCGCCGTGCTCACGCGCATTCACCAACGGAATAGGATTTCTCAGAACTCCAGCAGAATGGACTCATCACACCTGTGCATGAGTGAGATCTTATCAGATCAATAAGCTGGTCACATATTTTACTCAAATGTCCATGTAATGTTAAAATTGCTTTTTCTGCCTGTGGTGTATGAATGTTGAACTTCTATTGCACTAAACGTAGCCCACGGTGCTAATCGGAGGTGCGGGAAAAGGACAAGACACTAAACACAAAGAGCAGTTCTAAATAAATTCGTTTTCAATCTAGATTCAAAAGTGCAGAGCTCCAAGTGGCATCTTAATATCGGAAGGAAGAGCGTTCCAGACGGCCGCAGAAGTCATTATTCGATGGTTAGCCAAAGGCCGCTGCTGCCAGGATGACCAGCGATCTGCCTAACGGAAGCTAACGGAGCGTTTGTGGGTGCACGCCACCTTATAACGCGCTCCATTTTTTTCTTAAATGACCAAATGTGCTGAACTAGAACAATTGCCACCTCCACACAGAAAGCACCTTCCCTCGGATTTATTACGGAAGATACAAAATAAGCCAAGAATGTGTGTGTACCACGCGTGACGTCACTCCACATGCTGCACCCCTCCCCAAGAACAATTAGCGGGTGATGTCACTCCACATGGGGCAACCCCCCCCCCCTCATTAATAATCATGAGCTGAACAATTTTTCTATTTAATATTTCAGATTTACTGCAATCTACACCCATCTTTGGACGGGCAAGCTAGTTACCAAGAGGAACAGATGACCGACATCTACGCTTTGCCAAACCCTTTCCATTTATTGAACTCTGGTGTAATAATGTCACAGAGAACGTAGATGAGATTTTTACTGAAACGAGCACAGGGCCATCAATTTATAATGCAGCGATTTTTTTTTTGCCGTGCGATACAATCGCAAATTTATGACACGTTTTGAAGACTTATATCTTACCAGTTAAAAAAAAAAGCCCCACACTTTCTTGAAGTGGGAGATATTAATGAAAAGGTCACACTTGGACTAAAATAATGAATATAAGCCAGACCTCTCTGTGGCACTGCAAAAGAGTGATTTTTTTTTTCCTGCGGGCTACAAAACGGGGGAGATGTTAGGATGATGAGGAGGACATTCGGAAGTTAATTTACGGGAAGAAAAAAAAGGAATGAGCAAAATCAGAATAGTAAAACGCACCGGTTTTCCATTTGAACACGATTTCTTTTCTTACGCAATCTCATTTGGTTACTCTTCTATCCGACGGCTTCAACAGAGCTGCCGTTGAAGCTCACGGGGGGGGGGGGGGGGGGGGGGGAAAAGCGGCGGCGGCACCCGCCCTCGGCACAAAAGGGAGCGCGGGGAAACACATTGGTGGCCCAGCGACACGAGCTGGGACAGCGAGGCGCTCGGAGCAGGATCAAGGAAATGGGAGTGGACCGAGGGGCCTCTCGCTCGTCGCTCTCTCTGCTCGCTCGCTCCCGAGATTGCACAAAAACCACGGCGGCGTAGAACGGGCGGGAAAAACGCAGGCTTCGGTCAACGGGGGAAAAAAACGTTCGTGGAGCAGTGATGTCGCCGGAGGAACTTGCCTCGCGCGCGGTTCAAAGTGAGCCATCGTACGTACGCGTGCTGAACTTCTCTCGCGCCGTACGTAGCAAACCGTGCTGTTCGGCGGTGAGGGGGAAGGACAACAAACTGAACACAAAAAGCAGTTCTAAACAAAAGGGTTTTCAATCTGGATTTACAAGTGCATGGCTCCAGTGGCTTCTTAATATAGAAAGGAAGAGCGTTCCAGACGGCCGCAGATCAATGATTAGCCAAAAGCCGCTGCTGCGAGGATGACCAAAGTTTGCGGCATGGTTTATGCTCCCTGACGAGACCAGCAAGGTATTGTGGTTCAGCAAGGTATTTACTACGATAATGAGCCAAGAATGTCTGTGTGTCCCGCACGTGACGTCACTCCATGTCGGCCAGCCCCCCTCATTAATAATCATGAGCAGGTGACGTCATTCCACATGTAGCACCCCCCCCCCCCTCATAAATAATCATGAGCAGGTGACGTCTTCCAAATGAACACCACCCCCCCCACATTAATAATAATTAGTGGGTGACATCACTCCACATGGGGGGGCGAGGCGTCTCCTCCCCCCTCCTCAGCGTCAAATCACAACACTCACTACAAAGGCAGAACCCTCACATCACGCGAACTCCGCAACGCTGTTGAGATATCGAAGTAAAAAGGACGTCATGACGAACAAGGGATTATAACCAGAGGTCGCAAACGGGTTTTGATTCCTTACCCGTACCTGGCCGCACCAGGGTCGCAAATGAGTGACAAACGGTTACTCACCAGTGACTCACGGCCTACCCGTACCCGGCCGCACGAGGGTCGCAAACGGCTACCCGTACCCAGCCGGGTATCGGGTAGGGTACGACCTCTGATTATAACCTTAAAATGAAATGAGTCTGTCACCGCAGCCTTACAAATTGCACACGAATTGATGCAATGAATATCATGCCGCGGTCTGCTTTTCGCTTGCAAGTTTCGGATTTACTGAAATACACCCGTCCTAGGATGGGCAAAAGGCCGAATATCACACCACTTCTGGGCACGGACTGCGAGTATTATTAAACATAATGAACCACTATTAAAATGGCCGATAATACCAATTGTGCACGACAGTCAATAAAATTCTGTTCTCTCCCTAAAGGGCACTGCAATGGTAATTACAGACTTTTGCACACGAACAGCTTTGGTTCAGGGTCAAGGCCATACAGCTCTGTCACTGGAAGATTAAAGATCCTCGTTTTTTAACCACTTACAGCGGAGGGTGAAGTACGTTCAAGGAAATAGCCTCTTGAGGCAACAACAAAAACTGAAGAAAAGTATAAACTCCACACGCACCGAAATGGAATTTTAAATGTCATTTAGTTTTGGGGCAAAGGGCGCCCACCATCAGGCTAGTGTGACTAAAGATTGACGTTCAGTGCATATGAATTTTTTAGATACGGGGTCAATCAATGCTGAATTAATTACTTATTAGGTGATGTGCATATTTCACCCATACACAGCGCACACACGTTTGGCTACGTACGGTGTGAAATAAGTTCAACGTACATACGTACGTACATTGTATTGAGATAAATGCAGTCGCTAACATCAGGCTAATGTCACTGCATACCGATAAACGTTGTGTGACGGAGTTTCTGAATTCGTGAAATAATATGATTAATTGTGGGTTAAATGGCTTAATATATGATTACTGTAATGATTGTTTACCCAGAGAAGCCTCAAAACGAGTCTCAGGACTCTTCCAGGGAGGGTCCTGACAAGTTTTCGCAGTGGGCAGGTGGTGATGGAGCTACGTTTCATCCCTATTGAGTAAATTATGCAGCTCATTTTCAAGCAGAAGATTGGTGCTGGATACAGCCAGTCACATTGTGCAAATGTGATGTGTAACTTTGATCCTTACCTGCTGTGTATCGATAGTTCAATGTGAAGGTGCCATTGTGTTGAGGGACTACTGCTGTGGTCTGCTGGGACTGTTTTGCTGGTGTCTTTGCTGCCTTGCCCAAGCCTGATAAATCGGGCTTGGGCAATATATTTAATATATTTACATATTTAGTTACTTGCTTAACAATTTCTCTATTTTGCACTCCCGTCATGTTGTTTGTATTGTTTGCTGTTGTAACTTGCTGACCCCTTACAATACTCGACATCGTGAACAAGAGCTTCAAACTCTTCGGTTCTTTCGGTAAAGTCACGTAGGTGAAAATAATGAAATAAAAGAAAAAAATTTTTACTACATTTTATTTTTTATTTTTTTATTTTCACCTACGTGACTTTACCGAACGAGCCAAAGAGTATGAATCATTGCAGTCACAAAAACTTCAAATCTAGAATTAAGAGCTTCAAAAGCTCATCGGATTCCTCCAGCATTCTAAACAATTCTGAAGCATTGGGATGTTTTGCCAATACCAGTTAGTTTTTTGCGTAGAATGATACTCAAATAAAAATCATTCAAGGGAGGATACCAGAAAACCCAGAGGAAACCCATATTAGAACAGGCAGAGGACATTCAAAACTCGATGTAGAAAGGCAATCGAGTCGAGAATGAAACAGCCCTTCGCAGGAAATATTGCAGTTTATAATACAAGTCCTGAATACAATACAATTGATTTAGAGTGCCTATTTTGAGGCTGTTGATGCAGTATTGTCATCAATATGCGACTATACACATCCATTTAGTGAGTCTAAAATGTAAGAACCGTGTGTTCCCAGGCCAATGCCAAAACTGTTCAATCCAACCGAACTGTGTAACAGCAGCAACGTTTGAAATTATTGGTACAGCTTATGGGAAAAAAAACACAAGAAAACAATGAAGCCATGAATAACTTAACAGACGAAAGACAGCTTTTCACAGTTTAACTAGAGTGACGCAGGGTGCATCAGGAAGGCGATTTGGCCTCCCTGGTCCAAGGAGTAAGCCGATGTCACCTCCAGATGTGTTCCCAGCTGACGCGGTGTTATTGCGATAGCGATCGGGGCACTCACCAGGTCAATGTAAGAGGAGTCCCCGGTCAGGTAGCTCAGGTGAGCAAACTCCAGGTGCAAGGTGCCGAACTCGGCCAGGATGCTGCATCCTGACGACGCCCAGTTCCAGTTGCGCCCCACCCCGCTGGGAGACACGGCACGGCACCGGCACGGCACAAGCACGGCACAACAACCACGGCACACGCGGTGTGAGCGACGAGCATCTCCCCAATGGCCCCCGACAGCTGTTCTCCACCATGGGATCGCCACACCGTGATGTGAGCCAGGCAGCAGCTCACAGCACTGCTAGGTAGCATCAATCCTCCCCACCCACTGCCCAGCCACCCGGTCAGTGGGAATATGAAAATGGGTAGATGTAGGAGGTGCAATGACTGCAACCGTTGCCAAGCACACGTGATACGCAGTAATCAGCTCGTGTGCAGGTGTTAACCAGAATAATTACGGCTTACGACCGATGATGATGATGAGCTGGAAGGGAGGATGGATGACTGTGCCTGTTGCCAGGTCCACACGATACCCACGCTTGGACACAGCCAGTAATGCCAACAGATACCTCTCGGTGGTGACGTGCTAGCCCACGCAATTTCGAGCGAGCCCGTGGGCAAAATATAATGTTCGCGCGCGCGCGCACACACACACACGATGCTCTATGGGCACAACCCAGAGGCGGTCCCGACCACTCCCCATCTATCCCGAGATCGCAGAAGCATCCAGCAACACTCCCACACAGTTTGCATCAGGCCATGCTAATTTCTGCTGCAGCGGATGATTAAGTGCGCGTTTCAGGGCATAAAGAGGCCAATTCATCACGTCCATCTTTCAGCAAGCGCTAGGGACCAGCGAGACGCTTTCCCGAGCACATTTTCCGTCGAAAATGGATGGCTCCGGCAGAGTCATGAAGAACATTAGGAGGACATATTGGACAGTACCACCGGTAGAGAAGTGGGATTAACAGGGCAAATTAAAAATTAAAGGATCTTGGATCAAAGCACACTGAGCTGCCGTTATTAGCAACAGGGAAAACGGAGGTAGCGTGACCGATTGCTTGAGAGCCTATTTTGCCAGTTCTACACACACACATGTGGAACAACCACGTGACAAACACTCCAATATCACCCCCCCCCGCAAACCCCCATCTGTGACGGCAACGCGCCAAATGAATTTCTCACTTGCACGCACACCCGACACAAACAAGTTTATCAAAATCAGGCACCCAGCAGAGACGCGAGAATTGAACGCGTCAAATTGTGCACGACGGGCATAGAGGAAACGTCATGATTGCATGAAAACACGGCAACATATATACGATGGATAAGTCACATGCGATGGCAGTGCAGTACAAGCCGGCACGACACCGGGCATGACAGTGCTTCTCGACGTTCCTGGGTTAACGTCTTGGACAAGCGATCAATCCACAGGTATCGGATTCATTCTCCTGTGGCGGCAGTGGAAACAACGGTGTGAGTTTCTTAAATTCTTTCTAGATTTGAAGTTTCGTGACTCCAAGGATACATACTCTTTTTTTCTTTAAAAAAAAAAATGCTGTGGTTGTCACACCTGATGATGATGATGATTGCTTGTGTTGCAATCGAAACGTCGTGATTTAATTTATTCATTTCCATTTTATTAATTTTATTTTATTATTTTTTCACCTACGCGACTTTACCGAAAGAACCAAAGAGTATGGTTTCTTAAATTCTGCCACCTCTGTCCACCCAGCTCGAAGCATCAACAGGCAAATCACAGTTAGTTGATCGGCTGGTCGCATGTGATAGGGTATAGCGTGGGTACTCCAACCTATTCCAAGATGTGCGTAGTATAGCGTATAGCAGTGTCGTGTCTAGTCGTGTATAGTGGAGTGTTTAGCAGTGTATTGTATAGTGTTGCATGTATGTAATGACTCATGTATGATATAATTTCACACATTTTTCAATCACCTCACGTACCTCCAGGGGTCCGCGTACCCCCCCACCCCCTCCTCCTCCCCCGGTTGAGAACCACCGATCTCCGATACTGAAAACGTGTCACACTTGGAGGGGGGGGGGGGAGGAGGGGGTCATACCTCTTGAGGTTGAGGAGGGCCCATGGGATGCCCGTTGGCGTCCTGAAGGCAGGCAGAAGCTTTTCGGCCAGCTCCACGGCACGGATCTTGAACACCTGGAGCGTTCACACGAAAGGGGCCACTGGGTCATTCGTCACGGTGGAATTCGGGGCGAAGGCAATCCTGAAAAGCGGCAGCATGCGAACCAAAAAGCGCACGCATTTATTCCGACAGAACCCGACTTGCGCTCGAACGGGCGCACCGATGGAGCCGCGCACTTGAGGATTGATCATTCACCGCTAACGTGCGGGGAAAATGTTGATCGCTGCAAAATTATTCGAACTTTGACGTGTGTCAATTGTGTATTTGGGCCAAACGAGCGAGTAAACATGTACAAGCTCAGCAAATAAAAATGAGAAACAATTCAGATTGCGACTGTAAAACAATAAAATTGCATTCTTGGATAAAACTGCAACCAATCGACGTACGGGGGGAGGAAGGGGCGGGTTAATTATTGCTACATGCTTACTAACAGTAAGTGTTAGTGCTTCGCTCGAAGATATCTCTTTAAGTACACAACATTGCCCTTCATCCATCACACCAATGTGATAGTTGACACAAGGGGCATCGTGGTGGCGAGATGTTAACTCCCTTGCCTGGTACACAGGAGGTCATGGGTTTGATCACGACCCTGACCTGTGTTGTATATTTGGGGTTTGCGTGTCTCTCTCCCCGTGGTTGCGTGGATTTTTCTCCGGGTCCTCCGGTTTTTCCCTCCACATTTAGAAACATGCTTTTATGAGTATTTGCCTGATATAAATTTCCACGTGACAAGCCACTTCGTTGAGCTATCATTTGTGGTGACAGCCAGGTCGCTTTTGAAAAAGAGCTATTTCGCTGTGGGCCTTACCTGCTAAAAAAAACACCGACACCATTTTAAATGATCAGAAATATTACATTATGCGACATTTTAAATACTTTTTATGGAACACACATTGCTGGTTCCTCTTCAAACTAAGAATAGAACTGAAACTCACCACAAGTTACTGTGCTCGCTTAAAAAAAATCATCACAAAAGCAGAGCGCGCGGAAAATATTTAACATTCGGACTGTCGCGTCCAGTACGTCGCAAATCTGACCGCTACGCATCCCTCCCAACCAAAGAACCGCCCACACCCAGTGCAATACTTTCACGGTCGTGTCGTTTCCTACAGATGTTCACGAATCTGACCTTTGCGCAAACAGTGATGTGTCCCTTAATCTCGCGTACATTCGCTCACTTCTCAAGCACAGTCAAGCATTTCCCCGTGTGCAGAGAAGCGTCACGCGCTTTGTTAACGTCGAGTAACCTATTTGTTGACGGAGTTGTAACTGTCATTTTCTATAGATGTCCACATAACCAGCCTCGGCACGTGTAACGCATTGTAAAGATACTCGCCGCTTTCATCGCGACGTACGTAACCATGAGTGTAGGATCTGTACTACATAGTAACATCTGTGCGGTCGCAAGATGCCCATGAAATAATTGAGCCTAACAGGTTTATGGGCCCGTCCTGATGAAATAAAAAAAAACATCTCTCTCTCTAGACCTCAATTCCCAACGAGTCAAATATATATATATACGACGCCGTGCCGTGAAAACGTAGATTGTGTGGAGAATGCAAACGGGTTTCAGGTTTATTTTCTTTCACCAGGTGATGACTCAAGTGACCACGATGAGGCTCATTGGCGAGGGTGACCAGGGGTCACCGAAACAACAAAAGGCCAAAAACACTAAAGTACACCGTAACAAAGAAAACAGAAATCATAAACAAAAATAACCGTGACCCCTTAGGAATGCAAAGGCACTGCACCAAACACAAACCAATGGCAAATAATGCATTCCCTGATCTGTTTGATGCAAAAAAAGTCAAACAAATGTACGATGATCATGTACCAAACAGACATGGTGACAGAACAGGCCTATTTTCTATACAAATCAGTGCTCTAATTGTCACATAACAGCGATTGCATTTTCGTAGCAATATTTTTAAGGCGGACCTCTATTTGCCGTGGTATTTCATGGAACATTTAAATCTCACTTGTGCACATGAGCTAATCTCGCCTTTGCTGAATATATCCCTTTGTTCTGACTGAAACGAGGAGTGTGGGACCGCAATTATGACCAATGTCGAAAGCTGCGTATTACATTAATTGCTGTTATTATTGTGTTAACCACACAATGAGTCACGACATCATAAAAGAAAATGTCACTGTGATGCCATTAAATGGTTCTAACAGCATTATAAAATTTGCTAACTTTGGTTGGATTTTTCTTTAATTACGGCCTTTTGAATTTAGTGGGATAAAAAAACTCAATTAAAATAAATGAACAATACGACAAATTATACGCATGTATAACAAAAAAAAGCTTCGCCAAATAATTAAGCCATACAAAAAAGGCGCATGAAACAACTCCATCAATTTCTAACAGCGGAATCCGCGTTCCGAACCGCTACGCTTTAAAAACATTAACGAAACGACAAAAAACAACAACCCAGCAAACACAAAGCGACTGGTGCCGTCACGCTCGGGCAGCCTTCGCCCCCCACCACCACCCCGTTGGCGCGATCCACTGCCAACGTGATGGGCACTGGGGTGGCTGGGCGGCACGTGACGACAATACGGGGGGGCGAGTGAACCCCCCATCCAGTCTGCATGTAAATTGCTTCATTACGATCGCCCGTGCGAGCACGAAGAGGTGGCCACAGAGAGAGCGCCACCGCTCCTCCCATCGGCCTCCGTAAATCAACACTGGGGGTCAGGCGGTCCGCGACGGGCGCACACGTGACGCGAGCACACCTACCCCCCCCCCCAATCCCCAACTCCACTATCCCCCCCCCCCCACACAACACGTCCACTTTTTGGGGTCCCGCGTTTTATATGGAGTGCAATTGCCGATAGCATTTGACAATCCAGTAGGATTTGTTGAACAAGCCCGACTCTGCTGAAGGAACCCATGAGGTCAAGACAGGTCCTGATGTTGCTTGCTTAAACAAATGCTTCTTGATAATATTGGTCTGCAAAGCCAATACGAATAGGTAGATGTACTGAACATCGCACCGTCGGTTAGCACGGTTGGCTACGTATGGTGCAAAAGAAGTTCAACAAACCCACAGAACGTTTGCATAACGTTTGCGTTCGGTATTTCAATCGAGAGTAACATTAGAGCTGAGCCAATGAGAATGGCCAAACGCAACGGGGGGAGCACCCTCCTAAAAATCAACGGAAATTATCACGATAATTGCAGTGGCACACAAGCACAGATAAACGAAAACATCATTCAAAAACAATCATCAATAACACTGCCATGTAGACAGAGAGAAAACGTGTACATGTATAAAATGTTACACTTCAGTCAACGGCCATTCTTCATAGAGGACAGACAGGAGTTTTGACGTTTATTTCAAAACTGTCCTGGATGAATGATAGAATCAGTGTCTCCCCATCGCTGGTTAGACCTTCCGCGAGACATTTTACACTGCTATCGTTTATGTTGTTATTGGTTGCCGTTGTAACTTGCCGACCCACCGCCCCTACACCGGATACCTGCGAAAAAGAGCTTCATGGCTCATCCGGATTCCTCCTCCAGCAGTCTAAATAAAGATTTCGATTTAAAGCTTTCGTGACTGCAGGGATTCATATTCTTGGTTCTTTCCACAACGCAAGCAGCAGTCCTCAGGTGAAGAACAAAGACAGCGTCCTTAGGATGCTGTCTTTCCGACAGCTCTGCATCCTAAGGATGCTGTCTTTCCGATGCTGTCTTCCCGATGCTGTCTTTCCAACAGCTCTGTTCTTCACCTGAGGACAGTTGCTTGCGTTGTGGCCGAAACGTCGTGAGAATTTTATAATGTTTTATTTGTATTATTTTATTATTTCCCTTCAACGTGACTTTACCGAAAGAACCAAGAAAATTAATAAAGATCCTGATTCTGATTTCAACATTGGCAGCACCTGCGGTAGGCCCAAGTCTGCATGTCGCAGGGAACTTTGGCGATGTTGTACAAGGCTACAGGGCCCTCCTCTGTCAACCGGCTTGTGACCCGACCCCTCTCTTGACAATGCAGTCGACACGCCATGGCTCTCTTCTTCCATCTCCTTGTTCCCCGTTGTTGTCATCTGTTCTCCTTTTCCCGTCGTCACCCCGCGCCCCCCCCCCCCCCCCCCGGTTTACTTAGTTCCATAGCTCGACTCCAATGTCCATAAATCACGAACGGGGATTACAGTGAAGTGTGTCCCGGCATGTGCCCTCTTAATCATATTACCGTGCTTTCACCGCCCTGCATTTACACGGGATGCAACTTAAGTGGATTGCAAGCGAAATGGATATCTTCTCTTATGAGTTTCCCCCGACGACACTCGCTGGCCCGCTTTCAAATCGACAACCAACAACATGACGCGTCGCCAACGTCAACAACGTCGCCTTTTTCACCTTTGGTGTTCTTGTCGCCGAAAAGAGAAATCCGAGCGGCGTCGTGTTTCTCGGGCGACGGTAGGGGCTCTGCGCTTGCCCGCTCGTCACTCCGAGGCAGTGGTATCGCTACTCCCGGCCATGTGCTGCTGTACTTGCTTAAAACCTCATTTATAAAGCAGCAGCAGCCGGCACACGTTCTTAAGTACTCGAGCCAACTCCGGTGCACAGAAGTCTGCATGTGCAATTTTTTTTTTTTGCTAAACGGAACGTGCCCTGGAGTCAATCAACATCGGTTACTAATGGGGGACCTTCGTCACAATCTACCACGTGACCCACAGCACAAGAAGCCCTTCTGTGACAATCGCAAAGTTATGTAAAATGTGCCCATGTTTTTTTCCAACGCTTAATCCTTTAACCTAGGAGCTGTTGTTGGGGGGGGGGGGGTAACCTTTTCTTAACCTAGAGTCAGATAGGACTTTGGGATACCTTTAGTTGGCCACACAAACACACCTCAAAAATTATTCAGCACTGTTTGCCTATGTACAAGGTGAAAATTTATTTTTATTAATAATATAGGCTCGCTAAAGGCTCACCAGATCAAAATAACCCCCTCTACCGATTAGTGCTGCTAAGATGTGTGCAGGAGCAAGTAAATGACCATTT